TAGGCATAATTGTTTTGATAGAGGGTTTCCTTGAGACTGCTGAGGAAGGTTGAGAAGATTTTTGCTTAATATCTGGTAATGGTGGAAAGTTATTAATATTATTTAATATTGAGAACTTGTTATTCGTAATAATTTTTGAATAAGAAGGATTTATGTACATATTTTCAGCTTCTTTAAAGGAAATATTTTCCTGGGCCATAATCTGCTTTATTTGTTTTTGTTTTGTGAAGATAGGGCATTTTCGCGAGATTGAAGTGTGTTCATTACTTTTACAGTATATGCAAACATTTTCTAATTGACATTCATCTTCCAGATGATCCAAACTAGTGCATTTTTTACATCTGCTATTTTTAGATTTGCATTGTCTGGCCGAATGACCATAACGCAAACACTTAAAGCATTGTACAACTGGTTGTATATATGGCTCTACTTGGAAATTGCAGAGATTAATTTGAATGTTTTGTGGAATTTCATTCCCCAGAAATTGTACTATAATCATCTGCCTGTTAACTAAACAGGGATTTCCATCGGAATCTATTATTTTTCTTTTCATTCTTTGAACACTTACTACTTTTTTATTGGAAATAATGGCATTTAGTAAGTATTCTTCGGAAAAAAAAGTATCGACCATTCTTATGATACCCTTTTTGTGGGTGTAGAATTTAGGGATATATGCGATTAGATTATTTTGTTTGATTACATAATGATTAACTAGAGAATTAGCCGATTCCAAAGTTTTAAATATAACTTTCACCCGGTTAATTCCTACTGATTTTATATCCTCTACTTCTTTACTTAATGTTTCATCAGGGAGTAGGTAGTGCCCAATTTTAATTGGGAAAAGTTTACCAATATTTTTTTCTTTATGCTCCACAAACACGAAATAAGGACCTTTATCGCCTGGTCTATAGCGATTTTCTAGATCAATAATATTATTAAAATCATCTTTCTTTCCCTTTTCACTATTATTCATACATTGATTTAAATCGGGCGGTTCCCCGCCCGTATTTTCCCCCATGGTTTAATTAATTTTAGATGTTTTTATCTACAGCTTCTATATATAAAATATTTCAAATTTTATCAATTAATCAAAATAAAATAATTAGTCAAACCAAAACAAAACTTTGAAAAATTAACGAGGTTCAAATATCAATTAAAATATAATTATAACAGGTAATATACTTATCTTAACAAAAAGTAAAAATACCAGCACTCGAATACGTCCGCTCACTAGGCTTATCAAATTCGAACTGTTTCTTCATCTATATTGATGCCCATATCTTGTCATTGAGTTCTCTTAAATATTGACTCTAGAGCTGCCGTGAACAATTTTGGTGAAATATTGTCTCCTTGTCTAACTCCTCAATCTAAGCTGAATTTTTCTGTGTCTTCAAGAAGTCGTATACTTGATGTAGCGTTCTCGTAGATGTTTTTGATTAGTGTCGTGTACCTGTAATCTATTCGGCTTTGATTTAGAGCTTCCAGTATTGTTTCAAACTCTATAGAATCAAAAGTCTTCTCGTAATCGACAAATGCAAGAATCAGTGGTATGTTGTACTCGATGCACTTTTCTATTAAGATCTTTATGGTATGCAAATGGTCATTTGTGCCATATCTGTCCTGAAGCCTGCCTGTTCTTTGGGCTAATAGAAATCAAGTTTAGGTGTTAGCCTTTTTGTTAAGATTTTCATAAAGAGTTTGTACATATGTGTCAAGAGGCTGATGGGTCTATAATTTTCTAATTTAGTAATATCACCTTTTTTGCGTAACAAGACTATTACTGCATTGTTCCAGTCTTTTGGAATCGTACGCACATGTAAGCATTTATTAAACAGTTCGCTTACTGATTTTAATAAAATTTCTCCTACTGCTTTTATTGCTTCGATAACGAGTCCATCATCACCAGTCGATCGATGATTCTTCATTTCCTTTAAAGCTGCTCTTACTTCTGACACAGTAATGGGTAAAAGTATTTCCCATCCCTGATTTATGAGTATTTACTCGTGTCGGGAAATTGTCTTGTGGTCTTTGGCTGGTATAGAGGTCTTCGTAAAACTTTCTGGTTATTTTCAGAATGTTTTGTTTATCTGTTGTTGCCTTTCCGTCTTTATCTCTCAGCTTGTATATTTCTTTTTTACTTTGTGTGAGTTTTCTTTTCATTATCTTTAAACCTTTGTTCTCTTCTACTGTTTAAGTAATTACATTAGTATTATATCTTCTTACATCTTTTCTAATTTCTGCTGAAATTCTTTTATTTAGTTTTTTATATTCTTCTTTGTTTCCCTTTTCGTTCACGCTTAGGTTTCGTCGTATTTCCATAAGAGCTTTTGTATTTTTGCTAATCTTTTCACTTTTGGTGTCATTTTTATTTTACAAAATTTGAATTGTGTATTTCTAACCGAGTCTGTTATTAATTTATTGTGATAGTCGATACTTAGAGGTTTGGGATTATTACTCTGTAAAGTTTCGGCTAGATTTATTATGTATGCTTCTAGATGATTTGGTGAATTCCAAACTATGCGTTTGCTACTATTTATCATCTTTGCTCTTTCTTTTTGTAGATTTATTGTTACTCTAATTCTTACTGGTCCGTGGTCGCTTCCTACTGATAGTTTATTTAGTACAGTGACATCTTGAATAATTTTCTTTTTGTCTGTTATTATATAATCATATTTTCTCCTAGCTCTTCCATCTGGACTAGCCCACGTCCATTTTCTATTCTGTTTCTTCTTAAAAACGGTGTTCATTGCATACAGTTTGTGTTGCAGTAGAAAGTTAGTAAGCATTTTGCCTCTTTCGTTTCTCACTCCGATTCCAAAATCTTCGATTGCCACTTCTTGTTCGTCCTTTTTCCTTCCGAGTTTCCCGTTAAAATCTCCCATTATCAGATTGTAATGAGCCGGTTCCTGCTTTTTTACTCTTTCGATTTCCTCATTGAATGCTTCGACAATTTTATCTTCGTAATCGCTGGTCTTATGTACTCTCATTTATATACATAACTCTTGGGGAAATGCAGTCAATGTTTCGTATATTTTTCTGTAATTTTTTGTGTACTAATAAACCTATTTCTCCAGTTGTCGATTCCGTTTCCCCTTTATAGTGGAATATGTTTCCTGATTTTAGTTTGACCTGATCTTCACCTCTTCTTTTGACTTCGCTAATTGCTATAATATCCCATTTCACATGTTGGAGTTCTTCCTTCAGTTCTCTCATTTTTTCATCCTTAGATAAGGTTCTTACATTATACGTAGTTATGTTCGTCGTTCTTGGTAGCCTCTTACATCCAGTGGATTCTTCGCACCCTCTACCCGCTGTCCGTGAGTCCTATCGCTACCTTGGTCGGGAACTAGCGAGCTGCCGGGGACTGAGGGCCATTTTCTTGAATCTCTGTTCACGCTGAGGGGGTTTTGGCATTTAAACACCACGCTTGCCAGGCGGGTTGGTGAGTTGGTTTAGGAAATTGGTAGGATAGTAGGTATTGGCTAGGAATGGGGTTAGGACATGATTTCTTTCCGCAGGAGTTGATAGAGAATTAAGGCTCGCGTAGGGCAGGATCGCATCCCTGAAGTAAGTCTATCCTCCACTGGCATTGTGGAAGAGTACCTACCCGCTACCACAATGTTTCTTCTGTATTATATTAATTTACCTAATTTAAATTCCTGTTTTAAAAAAACCACAATGTTTTAAACAAATAAGCATATATATATATATATATATATATATATATATATATATATATATATATATATATATATACATACATATATACCGAGTGGCGAATCGTTAAATGCGCTATAGGAAACTCAATGGGAAATTACAAACTGTCGAATTCTTGATTCCCTAATTATTTTTACATCAAAGATGATATTATATTAAAATTATTCTAACATTATATGTTAGAATAATTTCATATTTCTACATTTTTTAGAGCATTGTTGCAAACTTTAGGCTACACGTAGTGCATAATCTGTATAACGGGTGGCTTTCGGTTACAATGAAGTTAAATATTAATTATATTTAACTGGTTATATTATATTTATATTGTCCATGATTTATTGTTAAAAAGCAATAAAGTTAATGAAATGTACTCAGTTTAAGCAAAATCAGTAATAATGTTTTATTCAGACAATAGTGCGAGAGCAACTAGATCTTTATTTGACGTAAGATATTCTAATAAAAAATTTATTAAAATCCTTTTTAAAAGGTATATAATTTAAAAACCCAATCGGGCTATATCACAAAATGTTTTCGGAATCCATGTTCCATCATCAGTGTCTACGTGTACATGTATTGAGACACTAAATATCTGGGTAAAAACCCGTTAAAAGATATATGTTTAAATTAAGTTTACATTATATGGTATTATACATTAAGATATTAAAATTACTAGTGGATTTGGTAACATGGCGACGTGTAACTCCACATGAAGTTGCTGGTCCTGCAGCAAAAAACACTTACACAGTGGTGTGTCCAAACTTAAATGTGGCGACTGCCCAGAAACTTACATAGGTCAAACTGGTAGGAATTTTAATAAACACATAGCAGAACATAAAAGGTCTTTCAATAATAGAAAGACAGATTCTACATACGCACTTCACCTTCGAGATCATAATCATTCTTTTAATGACGAATTTAAAATTCTTTACATTTAAAATAAAGGCCTTAAGCTTTCTGTGTTAGAATCTATAAATATCAACAAATTAAAAAAGACGGATATAATTCTGAATGACCAACTTAAGACAAACAGTTCTCCCCTCCTCAACCTATTTAATTAAAGACTATAAAGTGTAAACGCATGCCAAAAATAGATCACTTGATAAAGGCAATCAGCCGAAACAGCTGTAGTGATAGCAGTTTCAGAAAAATTTTGTTGAAGTTTTGAAAACGAAGTTTTCAGTGTTTAATTGTTACAATTAATAAAATTTAATAATTAAAATACTTAGTTATAAAATAAACTTTTAATTATCAATTAAAAGTTTTCCCTAATTCAGCGCCACAAAATGGCGTTGGGTAAACTAACAAAAAAAAAATTTAAATACTTATGTAATTTTTATTTCATATTATTAATTTATTTCAGGAATTGCCCACCATTTAGCAGGCCTACCAGGTCCTCCTTCGGAATGGGCATTACTAGGAGGAAGACATCCCTATCCCCATGGTCCGTTCATGAGCCACCATCACCCCCACTTTCCCCATAATATGTTTGCCGCTTTGGACCGTCCAGTTTCTTCTCCAAGGATAGCAAATGGTAATGTACACTATATTGATATAAATTTGTTTAAATGTTTGTTAAACACGAATAACCACACGAGTAGTGGTCAGCAGATCTGGATGAACAAAGGCAGTGAGGGCTGAGTGGTTACTTGTTGGTACAGCCGGCAATGCTCTCATGGTCTCACGCAGTCGTTGGACAAAACTATGTTTGTCAGGTGTAGCAGCACTAGGGACAAGCAGTTGTCCAGGGAGGCACACTGGGATACCATAGTATTATTTAAAGTTAGTGTATGGTATAAAGCTTGAAAGTGTTTCAAAGACTCAGAATTGTCTACTTCTGTCAATGGTTACAACTAAAGTTGTAAAAAACTGACAGGGTCTGTTGAAGAACCTCATCTGTTTTCTGAGCTTCGGATAGTCGGTCATAGTCAATGCTAATGGATGTTATGACCGCGTCTACTTCAGGTCGTGAGGGACAATCGGCAATGATATTGTCTGTACCCTAAATATGTCGAATATCGGTCGAGAATTAGCCAATAAATTCTATTTGACGTATTTGTCGTGGAGACTGTCACTCATGTCGCTGTTGGAAGGCGAACGTTAAAGGCTTGTGATCAGTATAAATTGTAAACGGCATGACCATAAAGAAAATGATGAAAGTGATGTATGATACTGAATATGGCAAGTAGTTCTTCGTTTTAAGTTCTCTGTAGGTATTCACCTACGAACTGTTGCAACACATCGTCGATTGCAGCCTCCAAGGTATCAACTGACATGTTCAATTGGGCATTAGGTGCTAAGAAAACTAATTTAGTTAAAGTGGCCAGGAGCTTTTTAACTTTGGTGAAAGCCGCTACCACCGTCGGTGTCAATGTCAGTTCTTACTGCTTCTTCTTTTCTACTAAGCGCACTAACTTTATCCGGCAATGGACGAACACCAGTTGGGGAGACCGTGGCACTCAGGAAGTTTACTATAAGTGTTTTGATTTATCATTGTTGATTAGGAGACCGTTTGCTTTCAGAATCCGAAATACTGATGCCAGGTATTGCTAATGCTTGGTACAAGTTTCCGAGCCAACCAAAAGATCGTCAATGTATATAGTAACATCCGAGCACTCTCGAAAAAGGTGGTCGAGATATCTCTGGAACGTCTTGGTAGCATTTCGTAAAATGAACAGCATTCGGAGAAACTCTTATGGGTCAAAGGGTGTTATAACACCCGTATTTTGTGAATCCTTTGGGTCGACTGGAAGTTGGTACAAAGCACGTGTCAAATTAATAAATGAGAAAATTTTCTTACCATGTAGTTGATTAGCAAAATCCTAGATGTGCGGTATTGGGTAGCGATCTGGTCTCGTCATGGCATTTAGAGGGCGGACAATTACTCTATGGCTCTTTATTACAATTTCTTAGTAAGTTGTAAGAACGAGCCATAGAATAGTGATATCCACTAATTATACTAACTCCATTCTTAGTGTTACTTTTCCCTTCATAACAAAATTTGTATCCTCCATCTAGTTATTTCACCCTTTGTAGTTCCACCTCGTGTCTTAGGTGCAAATAATTTGTACACTCATTATTTTAAGCGAATCTACGAACTCCATAGTCTTACCTGCACGACTTCCAATATTCCAAGACTATGTCCTGATTTTCTAACCTGTAATGACGTTCCTCCTGAAATAGTATTTTTTCGGAAATCTGAACAGAGGCTCAGTTTGCTTCCCGAATATATTACCTCTGGAGAGCGCAACATTTCAGTATAATTTTTATTATATTATAGTAGATATTTTTAATAGTATGGCTTTAATATTATAGCTATTATTTGAAGCGCGAATGCGCTTTTGAATTTGAAGCTATTATAGCTGAATTTTCTCTCAGCATCATGTCCATACGATTTGTCCAACAAACCACTAAGTGCAGTATTTCCCCACACCCACTTACATTTTCTGTATAGGGCAGGATCTCTAGTATGATGCAATTTAAGCTAATGCATGGTTGCCATATCCCATCACTAGGAGAAATGTATGTATACCCTTTAAATGTTTTAATCGACCAACTCTGCAATTTGCATACCAAATGAGTTTAATAGTTAGTGTGTTGCTCCAATTGTTTTAAGTTGTGATATGTATTGGTAGGCCATTTCTTATACATTCTGATTATTTTATTTTTATTTTTATTTATTCTTGCGGTTACAGTTAGTAGTAAAAAAATTATATAAAAAACTGTAATAGAATAGCCACTTAATTTAGACTTAAAATTTTTCTAAATAGTAAATAAAATTTAAGATACATATTTTCAACTTACAGAACCATCTTCAACATCGTTGGGCCCTATATCGATAAACTGCAGCAGCGCACACAGTACAACTTCACCGAAAACCTCGCCGAACACCCAAGTAGGACTTCTCACGACAGCGAGAGAACCGCAATCACCTCAAGAAGACGACATATCCGTTACTGCTTCTCCCAACCCTTCTCCGCCGCCACAAACTGCATTTCCTGGTATACCTGCTCCACAAATTCAAAACAACCAGTTGTTTAACAACGCTTTGGCGGCCAGCCTATTTTTGAACACGCCCTTGATTCCTCCACCAGGTTTGTATATACTAAAAAATTTTGGGTAAAATATATTGATCACTCTCTCATATAATTTTTATATGTAAACCTCAAATATAAGAAAATAACATACATTTTATTTACAGGTCAGTGGTTTTATTCGCAGCTGTATCCTCACGATTGGAGTTGGATGAGTTTTAGAAACAACCAACTGATGTCTAGGATATCTTCTCAGGAAGACTCGTTCCAAAACCCAGATAGTTCTAGTGAGAAACTAGACGTTACAGAAATAGAAGAAGAAACGGAAGATAAAGACATTAAAGAGCCCATAAAAGAATTTTCGGACGATATCGAAAGTGACGTAAGTAAAAACGGTAACAAAGACGCGCCTAAAGAAAATAAACTTTGTGAAGGTGTCAATCTGAGTGGTAAAGTTCGGAAAGCTACGGTTACTCTCGTGAAACATAAAGACGAAGTGAGTTCTAGTAATAGGGATAATACTAAGTGTTCTAAGGAAAATAATAGGCATGTATGGAGACCGTATTAATATGAATATAGTATTATTGTACATAGTTTATTTTTAACAAAATTTGTTATCTTGATATTTAGTTATGTTATTAAATTAATAAAAAACAAATACCGACAACTGTTTGGGAAAACTTGGTCCGTGAACAAACTTTAGTCAATTTTCTAGATTTTTTTAAACACATTGCTTAAATATAATAAATATGAATATAATGGATCTATATATATATATATATATATATATATACATATATATATATATATATATATATATATATATATATATAATATATATATATATATATATACCGGGTGGTGAATCGTCAAACGGGCCATAGGAAACTTAATGGGAAATTTTAAATTGTTGAATTGCTGCTTCCCTAATTATTTTAGATCAAAAGTCATAAAAAACTATTTGTAGAGGACTAAAATCTGAATTAAAAACAAATGTTAAACCGTTCTACGAATCAAATGTACTTCAAAATTTTGCAAAAATATAATAGATTTTTCAGACCACCCCTAAAAGTTAGGCCACACGTAATACAAGAATATATATCGTGTGTGTTTTATCATATTCATGTCAGATGTTTGACAATTTGAATTGTCAATTTTTTTGTTTTATGATTAAATTATAAACAATGAATTTTACTAAATAGTATTACTGCTGAACAATATTACTTTGTAAACAATAAATTATATTGTTTACAAATCGATCAATATAGTGAAATGTACTCAGTTGACAAAAAATCGCATAATGTTCTATTCAGGCAATAGCGCGAACCTTTTCATGTTAAGTTAAGTTATACAACAATTCAATGAATTCCAATGTACTGTTACTGTGATCGTTATTCATAATAATAATTTATGATAATTTCTAAACATAAAACTATAACAAATGTTATAATAAAACATGAATAAAACATTTTTATTATTGCTCTTTTCTCCTTAACTGAGTACATTTTTTAATCAACTTAATATTTTTTTAAACAATAAATCACAAAATAAAAATATTGGCCATTTAAATCATAGATAAATATAATATAGTTGATTTAAATATTGTCAAATATTAGAAACGTCAATATGACAAAACGCAACACGTAATACACATTTTTTCACGACGTCTGGCCTGACTTTTAGGGGTGGCCTGAAAAATGTATTATATTTTAGCAAAATTTTGGAATACATTTAAGTCGTAGAACAATTTTAACAACTGTTTTCTATACATATTTGAGTCCTCTACAAATAGTTTCCCATGACTTTTGGTGTAAAATAGTTAGGGAAGCAGGAATTCAACAATTTAGAATTTCTCATTGAGTTTCCTATGGCCCGTTCGACGATTCACTACCCTGTATATATACATACATATATGTTTGAAAATATTGTCTCTACCTTCCAAAAAGAATTTCTATAATTTATTTTATACAAAGCTGCATATTATGCGACTTTTTCTGTAAACGTCCACGTCCATTGTATCTTTATTCAGAACCATCACAGATTACTAGAATTGAAAACTGGGGAAGAGAAACAGGTACTTAACCTGCTTGGGCCCAAACATGAATTGTAGTGATCTTTTTCTTGCCAATCAAAAGAATGTTACAATTTGGAATTACTTATAAATCACCCTCCCTTTTGGTATTTTCAAAAATTGTAGTCTTACTAGTGGTACTTTGGGTCTGGACTGACAATAAAAAAATTAATATTCACTTATCATTTTTATTGATGAAATTTAGTAAAACAATTTCTATTGACACTACAACATAAAAAACCTTGTACCAGGCACATTTGACAAACATCAGGTTGTGGCATCCAGGATACCTGCATTTTGATCTTGATTTTTGACTTTCATTAACAATTTCTGGAATGTGTTTAGCTTCCTTTGGCTGTAAGCGTTTATCAGGGATTGGTGCAGTCTTTCTTCGTTTTCTGGTTACATTTTCATTTTCTTCGTCGGATGTGCGTTCACTTCTGTTCTTGGCCTGCAAAAACGACCCAGCAAGCGAAAACTTAAATGACAGGTAATCTTGAATATATATTTTGGAAGTTTTTGCAACCAAACAATCTTTTTTGTAGTGTAGCCAACTGGCTATAGCACAAAAATCAATAAAGGCGTAAATACATCGTATTGTCCACTTATTTGTTCTACTGCTCATAGGGTACTATGACATAAACCTATCCAGCAAATCTACTCCACCCATGCTTTTCATTGCTTAATCACTGCTGGACGATTTATTTCTATGTATTTTTTATCTTTGGCTAACCAGCGCCTGCACAATCCCAAGGGTTCAGCTCCAAATGCTGATGAAGCGATATATATTGGTTTGGAATCAAACCATTTTGTAACAGCTATTTTGTTGTCTTTGTTAACGAGCATATCGTGGGAGCCTCTTCCTAATTTTCTTAGATCTTAGATCTTTATCTGTCTTAAATGTCACATCAGTTTTTGGTATTCTATTTTTTTTGGTATTCCTGTTACATAAAGATTCATGTATAAGAATTTGGACGTAAAATATCTGTCAACAAAAATAGATACTTCTACTGTCAGAGTACCCGTAATTTTTAAATCAACCGTTCCCCCATATCCAGCTGTTCTGGTGTGTACCGAGCTGGAGTCAATAAATCTGTTTTTACCTTCATACACGTGAAAATCAAGTGGAATCCCACCCGTAGTCGCCATAATAAAATTCTTCAATCCTACAGGGTAAGGTTTTCCTCACATAAACTGTCTCATTAATATTTCCATAAAAGGGAATTATTTGCTCATCGATTGACACTTTTTCAGTTCTTTCATTATTCAGACAAGCCCTTTGAATTTGATCCAACTATGGTGTTACTTTCCAGAATTTATCATTTTCTTTAGTCTCCTTGGTTACAAAATCATCATCAATAATTTTGAGTCGTGTTCGAATGGAAAAAAAGATTTCTTGACAAGTTGTCTAAAACTATTGGTACTCTGGTATTAATTTGCCAAAACATTAGGATTCGTGGTAAACTATAAATACCAATATGCAAGTAGCATGCAATAAACGTTTTTAACTCTATATTTCAAAAATCTTGTTTGTTGCTTTAGTTTGAATTAATTTTCTGGATATCCTTTCTTTTGTCTATCATAACCAATTCTTTCTTTCTTTCTAACATTTGTCTTTTTTGTTCATGTTTTTACAATTCATTCAAATTACAATTCATGGCGACATTACACAAAAAGCCGCTGTTCAAGATATAACTGTATTAAATCAAGGATGGTTAGAGCAAAGATAGTCTTACACTTAAACAAGGACTAAAAACATCACATTCACTGCAACTACTAACACAAGAGCATACGAAAGCAACTAAACGTTGGTAGATGCCCTAAAGAAGGTACCGAAGAAGTGCAAACAAAGACAAATTAAAAACTACAGAAGACACAAGAAACTTAATGAAAAAAGAACGAAAGTGGAAGATAAGCACACAACGAACATTGTGAAGCCAAGAAATTTAAATCAAACCATTTAAAAAGTCGTTAGAAACGACATAAGAACTTTAACACTAAATAAACAAATACCTTAAAAAAAAAACAAAAGCCTAAAAGTTCTAAGACGAAAGTTAACGAGAGGAACCAGGAATAATTTTAAGTTAAGTGTCATATATGAACCTGAAAATCATCGAACAGTACTATACAACATTATATAGTCTAGATGCTTACATGTCAGAAGCAGAAATCCCAGCAATACAAAATCAACATCAAAGGAACTTCCAGATATAACCGAAGAGAATATTATATCAGCGAAAAAAGGTATAAAGAACAACAAAACATCTGCAGAAGATGACAGTATAAGTAAAATCATAAAACTAGGAGGCAAATGCGTCATAAAAGATTTAAAAATTCTTTATAAAGCCTACCTCTTTCAACGAATTACACCAAAAAAATGAAATAGTAGCATTGTGATATAATTGATTTGAGTGATTTATATTGTGATAAAAATGAAAACGATTGGAGCAGACAAGAAGAGCAAATCAGAAATAACGGAAGAGGAAGTAGTATACGCAATAAAAAGAATGAAAAATGGTAAAGCCCCAGGTCCAGATGAAATACCAACGGAAATCCTTAAACTAATAGAAAAAGACTCGATTCAAATTTTAGTTGAACTTTTCAATAGCATTAGGAAAAATACCACAAGAATGGATTTTATCCACCTTTGATATTATACCAAAAAATATAAATGCCAAAAAATGTAGTGATTGCCGTACAATCAGTCTGATGAGCCATGTACTGAAATTATTCCTGAAAACTATACACTCTAGAGTACACAGAAAACTGGAAATGGACATCAATAATAACCAGTTTGGATTCCGAAATGGACTCGGAACAAGAGAGGCGTTGTTTGCACTGAACGTTATGTCTCAAAGATGTCTTGACATAAATCAAGATGTATTTATGTGTTACATAGATTACAACAAGGCCTTTGATCAAGTGCAGCATGATCACCTAATCAGACTCCTGACAGAAAAGAATTTAGATAAACGAGACATCCGACTAATAGCAAATATGTACTACAATAAGAAAGCAGTAGTGAGAGTAGAGAATAATACTACTGAAGAAATTGAAATAAAGCGAGGTGTGAGACAAGGGTGTGTACTGTCACCAACCCTGTTTAATCTCTATTCCGAAGACGTAATAAATTGAACACTCTCTGAGCAATCCGTAGGTATTAAAATGAATGGTGTTAGATTAAACAATCTGAGATTTGCGGACGACACCGTTCTGATCGCAGAAACACTTAAAGAGCTACAGACATTGGTAAATAAGATAGCAGACTGCAGCGAAGAATATGGACTCTCTTTGAACATAAAGAAAACTAAATTTCTAGTAATATCGAAATCAACACAAAATGTCCAAAATTTATATTTACACAATGAAATTATCGATCGAAATAGCAAATACAAATATTTAGCCACTTTTAAAAATGAAGACAACGATAGCTCAGCATAAATCAAAATAAGAATAGAAAAAGCCAGATCCATATTCACTAAAATGAAGAGAGTGTT